CCTTCTTGGCACCCAGGGCACGCTGCTGGCTCAGGGTCACCCTGTGGTCCCCCAGCACTCCCAGTCCCTCTCCGCAGAGCTGCTCCCAGCAGCTCAGCCCCAGCCTGTCCTGGTGCCTGGGGTTGTTCCTCCCCAGGTGCAGGACCCTGCCCTTGCCCTGGTTGAACCTCAGCAGGTTCCTCTCTGCCCAGCTCTCCAGCCTGGCCAGGTCACGCTGGATGGCAGCACAGCCTGCTGGCCTATCTACCACACCTCCCAGTTTGGTGTCATCGTCCATTACCACGGACACAGATTCTGCCCGAGATGGGGTCGTGATCTGTGAATAAATGTTGACTTTTCTTGTCTGATGTGGGGGTAGGAAAAAGCTGGAAAAGATGTAGCTTAATACACCAGCCTTTCCCTCCCAGAGGATTTACAATTTTTAAATCCCAGGGATTTAAAATTTTTGGCTTGGGTCACCAGAAAATTTGTGCGCTTCAGTTAATTCTTGCCGGAAGGAGATAGCGCCAGGAATGAGGGTTAACACCATAAAACCTGGGAGGGGAAAGAGGTTTTACGGGCTGTGCGTGGACTGGGCTCTGCCAGAGTTTGCGCCCTTCGAAAGCGCTGTCGCTTGTACGGCGCCAACAGGCGAAGGCAAACGTTGTCGTCCGTAAGTAGTTTCTTAAAGATTTAATCCATTTGCTCTCCCTCCAGGCTAACGGCAGCTGGCAGGATGCGACCACCCCTTCATCCATCACTTCACCTGCCGGAGACCCTGGGAGTGTTAATTCGGATGCGTCTAATTAAGTTTTTAGGACCTATCGATGAGAGGAAAGAGGTCATTAGTGTAATTTGTCCGTGTTGCTCTTTTGCCAGTACTCTTGTTTCTACAACTTGACACACAGCTAATTACCTCAGAAACCCCCTGGAACCAAGAGAAGATTGTGATTACAGCGATACCTCTCTACCTCTCAGCCTCACGCAGTTGAGTTCTTCTTACTTAACGCCCATCGGGATGTGGAATCGTTTTAAAAGGACTTGCTTCATTTTCCTAACCAAATTCATTTTTTTTTTTTTTAAATACGGATTTTACGGTAAGAATCGGGAAGTGTCTCTTCTAGAACTCGGCGTTTGTCGCCAGTTTTACAGCGTAAGAAAATTGACTTATTTTAATTTCCATAAAGTTTTTTACGATGAAGTTTCTGTTCTAGTTGATAGCTACTAACAGTTAAGCCCCCCTGTATTGTAATTGTATGCGTTCTCTGTATTGTAATTTTGTATAGGAAAATAAGCTTTTCTTAACTAGGATTCATTCTGAGCTAATTAATCAGAACGTTGCTTTACCAAAACTCTCACTGGACTTTGCTCTCGGGTAGGACCTTCCATCCTGTGTCATTCCGCGTAATTCTAATTTAACGTCTAGCGAAAAGAAAAAACAGCAACAAACCAGGAAAGCCCGCCTGCCTTCCCCACGGATACTAGGTTTTTTTGTGCATTTCTGCAGCTGTGAACACAGAGTCCGCCCCTTTCAGTTGAGATTTTATCAAAGATAATAAACTTCCAAAGCCTTTTTTTCTTTTTTTTT